TGAAATCTCACTTTCACTACATTTTCTCCAAAGTTATACTTTGGAGATTGTATTTACGTTCAATTACTGATATAGTGATATTAGATTATTCCATTCTACTAATTTGGTATCAGTCACTTCAATTTACTATTCATAATACAGACAAATAGGTCTAAATGCTATTTTGATTTTAATCAACAATAATGTAACCCCAAATTAAATTTGAATCCATATACATGCCTCTTTCTTTATTAAATCAAAAATCAAGGGGTTCTGTGCGAAGCCAACAGAACACCCCTTCGAGGGGTTCTGTCTGAAGCCAACAGAACACCCCTTCGAGGGGTTCTGTCCGTAGCCAACAGAACACAAATTAACCGTATCTCTTGAGAGATAGATTTTTGGACGGCATTCGTGTCCGCAGGTCGCCCGCGCACACGAGTCGCGGTTTTTCTTCTCCGTTTCGGGATTTGATCGGCACCCCCTCTGCGCGTAAGAGAGAGCCTTTCCCTTTAGGAATCTTAACTCCTTAAAAGAGGCTTCCCTTTAAAAGGGGGTGAAAATCCCTTGAGTTTTCCGATGTGGGATAAAACACACTAGAAACTCATCATTTTCCCAGTTTTTCCATTCCAACGAGTGAATTTCGAGAATCAATTTCTCATTCACCCGTTATCCGTTTTGAGTGTACCATATATCGAATTGTAGCCCTTAACAAGGACAATCCGAAACCACTTTGACCCGACCCAAATCGGAAGTGGACCCACTCAAATAATTGCCCCAAAATGACCATTTAATGCAATTTTTAACACATTTTTCCAACAACTACATCCTACACAAACTAATGTACTGGACGACTTATAAAACTAAATACATAGATACGTAGTACTCCGTAGTACTACGTATGTAACTTAGTTACATGTATCCGGACTTGATACTATTTTACCTGCCGGCCAAATCGTTATAACAATAATACGGAGGAGATAATATATATACGTATATGCTACGCATGCGATCGATAAGAACAAATTACGAATGCTACTCAACTGAAGCCAATCAGATAATTTTTAGAACGACCTAAAACCTTCCTCCTACAAGTATAAAGAGTCTTCTTCAGCCATTATAATTCTTTCATTCCCATATTCTCATGCCATATATACATACGCACCGCAACTCCCTCGGCTGCAAAAACCTGCGTTGCCTATGTTAACCCTTGCGACAGAAGATAGGAAATAGAATAAAAGAGAGGAAAAGTAAGAAAAAAAGGAGATAGAGGGGACGTAGAATTCGTCGGACTGCTTTACCGCCGGCGAAGAAGAAGGACGACCTGGATCGTGAGGGAAGAAGAGGGAAAGCGATCAGAGACGATTCCAGGATGGCACTGCGGCGGAGGAAGACGAACTTCATGCTCTGGTCGAGGTAGTCGTCGCCGGGAAGGAGAAGCACGCTGGCGGTGCCGCTAAGATCGCCGGAAAACAAACCAAGCTGTCGCCACATGCCCCACTGAAACAGCCTATCAATTACAGTTCACTCCACCAGAGGCGACTGGGGAATCGCCGCAGATCTGCAGAGCTGCCGGTTTCCTTTCTCTCTGCTTGGATCGCACACCTTGGAGGAGAAGAGTCAGAAGACCCCGAAATGTACGTAACTCTGAGTTCTATTCCATAATCGTTTATGTTCTTGGGCTGGACTGAGTTTATATGGGCCGCATAACAATTGGTAATGGACTGGTATTTGTATGTTTAGACCACATCAAATTAAATGGATAAAATCACAAGGTTGAATGATTGTGTTAGATACATTTGAATAAAAGTAAAGACCTGGATTATTGGACCAAAAAGAAATTAACAAAGTGAAATAATTATTAATTCTAGAATGTTAATATTTTTTAGAAGGTGAATTTGGAGAAGATCGAGATAAAAGTTTTGGTTAGGAATTAACGTGATTTGAGGTAAGTACTATGTCAACTAAAATTTATACTTTTCCTCGTAAATATATGTATGATTTTTCATTGAAATTATTTGAGTATTTTATACTTCATGAGATTTTTAGTATTTAAATTTATGTATTATTTGTGTTTGGAAATTATGTTGGTTATAATATCTGACATTGGATGATACTCCCTCCGTCCCTTAAAACTTTGCCATCTTTCCTTTTTGGGATGTCCCCAAAAACTTTGCCACTTTCTCTTTTAATCAATTATTTTGTGGTTTCTGTTATTTATCTCTCCTCTGCACAAACCTTAACCACACAATTTTTACTTTATTATTCTCCGTGCCGGTCAACTTTGACAAAGTTTTAAGGGACGGAGGTAGTATTATTTTTGAGTATTTGAATTTACGTGTGAATCGTTATTTGGATTGAGACTTGAACTATTTATGAATTATTCTATATTTTGAGCACTTTGAGAATTTTTGACCTTAAAGTTCAAAGGATAAAGTAACCCGTATTTTGGAAAACTATATGTATGTGTGATAGCTATGAAATTTTGGAATATACTAAAAATAACAATATTTTATGGTGTTTGAGAAGGTGAACTATTTTGTAAATTGTGAGTTACATTTTTTTAGGATATGTCTATGTGATGATTTTACTGTTGATTAAATTAAATTTGGGGAAGTTACGTGAGTAGTAAACCCCTGAAATTTTTGGAGATTAATATAGATAAAATGAACCTTTTAATGTAAGTGCATCACATGAGAAATCCGGGGTGTCGGTGTCCTCCACGACCTTGACTGTAGAGAGTGATTAGGCCTGCTTTTACTTGTCTACTCATAAAAGAGTTGTTATGTCGGTGTCCACGACCTTGACTGTGGAAAATTTCTATGTTGGTGTCCACGACCTTGACTGTGGAGAGTGTTAAAATTCGGGCAAAAGACCCTGTTATTCAGTAGTAGCAGTAACCTAGTCACTTATATAGGGTAATCCCTTTTTGGTGGAGTAGGGGGACGTTGACGTCCGAACTACTTGGACTTCTTACTACCCGTAGGGCTTGGAATCCCTTTCAGGGGGTGTGCACACTTAAGGTAGATGTTCAGTTTCCTCAGGTTAGAAGTGATACCGGCAAAAGTCCCGGGGTGGCCGTACATAAGGACGGACCATCGGGCTCAATTAAAAATATTGAGCACCGCCCTTCGAAATTACTTAGGGACCTTAGTATAAAGAGTTGGAGAAAATATTTTAGTACTTTACTCGTAAGAGTTGTTAAAGTACTTGTTTGGAGAAATACTATTTGGTTGAATGAAATTTAAAGTTATTTTGAAGACTAATTATTTAAGGAAATGGTATTTTCACCCTACTATGTGAATTACTTCTTGTTCATAAACGTATTTTGAGAAATGATGTATTTAGCTCTTATTTTGAGAAATGGGTATTTATAGTGTTTGAATTATTATTTTAATTAAAAATGTGATTTCGAATTATACAAGTTTATTTTGAGTTATAATTGTTATTTGAATAATAAAATTATTTATGGATTCCCGAAGTACAAATACTTTTGGGTTTGATTTGGGTTGATTATGTTGAATATTGTTCAGAAGTAGTTATAACTATTTCAAGATGAATATTGGTGATTGATTTATACTTTGGAATAATTGTGAGAATATTTGGTGGTTTATGTACATTGGTATTTTGGAATTTTATGGTTTGAAATAAGTACTTATATTTGAAAAATTAATATTTTACATATGAATTGTGTTATGAGAATATTTTGTATATATTGTTTTACTTATGATTTATATAAAATGTTTTGAAAAAGGTTTCCTCCAAGATGTTTTACAAAAATGTATCAAACATGATTATTTTACGGGGTTGGATGGGACTTACTAGCATTTCCGGCTAATTTTGTTTGTTTGTGTTTTTCCTTCTGTACTTGATTTTGTAGAGGTGGTGGTTTGATCCTGTTGAAGTTGAATTCGAGAGAGCTTCCGCTAGAAAATATAATTAGTAAATCATTGTATATTTTAATTTCAAGAACTCTATTTAATTAATATTATTTTGAGTTAAATTATTTGAGAAGTGGTTAGCCTGTGCACTCGGTTAGGTCGGAACCGAGTGTGGCGGTAACGCCCCTATTTCTCTTTGTTTTTTCGCTGCACAATTCTGATGTTTTCAAATAAAGTAATAAATAATGTTTTATTTAAAGGTATTTTTGGGTGGGAAATTTGTGGGTGTTACATCAACGACTTTCCAGAGTGTGCTTACTTCTTAGGAGCTGGGCCCAAAGGAACCGCCCGAGCATCCCCGTCCGGGAGAGGACCCGACCGGGACGCAAAGCCTCGTTCGAGAGTGTGCCTACTCAGGAGCTGGCCCCAAGGAACCGCCCGAGCATCCCCGTCCGGGAGAGGACCCGGCCATGATGCAAAAGCCTCGTTCGAGAGTGTGCCTACTTCTCAGGAGCGGGACCCAAGGAACCGCCCGAGCATCCCCGTCCGGGAGAGGACCCGGCCGGGACGCAAAGCCTCGTTCGAGAGTGTTCCTACTTGTCAGGAGCTGGACCCAAAGGAACCACCCGAGCGTCCCCGTCCGGGAGAGGACCCGGCCGGGACGCAAAGCCTCGTTCGACAGTGTGCCTACTTCTCAGGAGCTGGCCCCAAGGAACCGCCCGAGCATCCCCGTCCGGGAGAGGACCCGGCCGACACTACTACATTTTTAGACCTAATGTAACATTAAAGATGTAACATATCTATAATAGTGTTACCTATTTCTCTAATGTAACACTTTTTAGACCTAGTGTAACACTTTCTAGAAGTATAAGTGTTACATTAGGTACTATAAAGTGTTACAATAGATCAAATGCAACACCAGCAAATGTAATGGTAAAAAAATGTTACATTTTCTCTAATGTAACACTTTTCATGGAAAATGTAACATTTTTTTACCATTACATTTGCTGGTGTTGCATTTGATCTATTGTAACACTTTATAGTACCTAATGTAAGACTTATACTTCTAGAAAATGTTACACTAGATCTAAAAAGTGTTACATTAGAGAAATAGGTAACACTATTATAGATATGTTACATCATTAATGTTACATTAGGTCTAAAAATGTAGTAGTGCGGGACGCAAAGCCTCGTTCGAGAGTGTGCCTACTTCTCAGGAGCTGGACCCAAAGGAACCGCCCGAGCATCCCCGTCCTGGAGAGGACCCAAAGGAACCGCCCGAGCATCCACTTGCTCACCAATGTATTTAATGCAATCAGGCCTAGTACTTGATATGTGTGCCATCAATCTGGAGCTACCACCTCATCCTAGCCTCAACTCCTCCTTGGTATAAATACCCCCTATTTGTGGCATAAGGGAGGGGAATTTCTGCCAATTAATGCGTAAAGGCTGCCAAAACCTTCTTCCCAAGATCAACATTTTCTTAGTTATTAATATTTGCTTAGTCTTTAATAGCACTTATTGTAAGAGTCTTGTAATCAAGACCATATATTGTTATAGAGCCTCGGTATTAACATATTAATAAAGTCTTACCTTTTACCATATATTACTTCTTCTATTCTACTTCCGTATAAACTCGAAGAATGTGTTGAACCTTCGGGCCTAGGAACCATTAAACTCAACACTGGCGCCTTCTGTGGGGAACTAATGTAAAAATCTAAAAGCTCCACCTTAGTTAAGAAAATCACTCAAGACATCCATATAAAACCAAAGAAATGGCTGGAACATCAAGAAAGAACCCAGACGGGCTGTATTATCGTCAGAACTCGGACGGGCTGTATCATTGTCAGAATTGGCTTCAAGGCCCGAGCGTTCTCGGCGCCAAGTCCTCAAGGCCCGAGAGTCCCCGTCCGGGAGAGAACCCGGACGGGCTGTATCATCGTCAAGCGAAAAGCCGTTGGGAAGAGGACAGTCAGTCAGATAACTACTCCGACGCCCGCTCTTCTGATCCTCGTCCGGGGGAACTCACGAGGAACCTTTCCCGGGGAACCCAGACGAATCCAAAGCTCTTAAGGGAAATGGCCACACACCTCCATATGATGGCCAACCGCCAAGAATACACAAGGGAAGAGTCCCACGGGGCAACACATACCCCCTTATCCCCCGTCCGAAGAATGGCCTCGTTGGTCAACTATTCCGACGAGCCAGATCACCAACAGGCACACGACGGACAACGAGTCTCGGCACATGACAAACTGGACAGCCGAAGGGCATCGGCTCACACCCGGATGGGACCAATTCCCGTAGCAAATCATGACACACTGGACAACTGAACGACATCGGCTTAAACCCGGTCGAGACCAATTCCCGTAGCAAAACGCTTGGGCGAGAGAGTCACAACCCCAAAAGGAGCGGACGAGCTTTCCAGGATCCAAATGCCTTCTTTCACGGAGATCACCCCCACTTCCTCCCTTCGGAAAAGATGGCAGGACAACAGGGAGAGACCAGCCCTGGAAAGAATCGCCTAAGAAAACAATGCAAGATTATATCCCGTCCGGGAGGGGGCCTGCCCGAGCTTCCACCTCGATGGAGCCAGGCCAAATCTTACCACTCCTCACGGCGACCACTTTCTACATTCTGGGTTGGCGGCCGGGCAATACGCTGCCCCGACGCCTGTCAACTCGGCAAGGGACGAACAGATGGAAGCCCTAAAAAGGCAGGTGGAAGATTTGGCCAAGCAGGTCATGAAGGCCACCACTCCGGAAAAGTCCTGCATCGCTTCCCCGTTCACCCCAAGGGTAATGGCGGTGACCATCCCGCGTAGGTGCAGGGTCCCGGCCGGGCAAACGTATGATGGTACTAGTGATCCTCGCACCCATCTTGTGTCGTACCAGGGGGGCTGATGCTCATTGGTGCCTCGGACGAGGTGATCTGTCGCCTCTTCTTTGCTACGTTGAAGGGGCCGGCCCAAGAATGGTTTGGGCAGCTGTAGCCGGAATTGATCGATTCATTTGTAGAGCTATCCGGGTTGTTCCTGGCGCAATTTGCATCTTCTACCAAGCTGAAGAAACACTTCAGCTATTTATCCAGCGTTCGGCAAAAACCGGACGAGACACTGGCCAGATTCTTGATCCGTTGGAGGGATGAAACCCTGGGCGTGATCGCGTTTGATGAGGTGACAAGCATCACTCTTTTTACCGATGCCCTAAGGACCGGGGACCTCTTAAGGTCCTTGAAAAAGAAGTCAGGGACGAGCTATTCAAATGTCCTCGCCCGGGCGAATAGATATGCAACGATCGAGAATGAGATCGAGTTGCGGGATACCACCACTACTCCTGCCTCAGCACCGGCCACACTAAAGGCAAAGGCAGTAGACCGTCTGGGCCCTTCTGTAACAAACTCGGACGTTAATAAAAAGATCAAATTTGAATGAATAAAGCCCATTTTTAATACAAGTGTTTAAAAATGGTGCAAATTGTAAAAGTGTTTTAAACCTTATGACCGGCCGGGAAACAGTAGTCTGCAACACCCCGTTCGGTCCTTTATAGTTCCTAAACTAAAAGAGGCCGGAGGGTTAAAAAATATAATAGTCATGATTAAAATTTTAAAACTCATCCTTAAAAAAGGATCAAGATAAGAAATTCGATCAGCGCCAAGTCCTCAAGGCCCGAGCGGTTCACAACACCCTCGGCCTCAACATTCAGGCTTGGCTCACAGCGCCAAGTCCTCATGGCCCGAGCGGTTCCCAGCACCCTCGGCCTCGTCATTTCAGGCTTGGCACCCAGCGCCAAGTCCTCAAGGCCCGAGCATCCTCGACCTCATTTCAGGGTCGAGTCTCCTCGGCCTCATTTCAGGTTTGGCTCCCAGTGCCAAGTCCTCATTTCCCGAGCGGTTCACAACACCCTCGTCCTCATCATTCAGGCTTGGCTCAGAGCACCAAGTCCTCATGGCCCGAGTGGTTCCCAGCACCCTCGGCCTCGTCATTTCAGGCTTGGCTCCCAGCGCCAAGTCCTCAAGGCCCGAGCGTCCTCGGCCTCATTTTAGGGTCGAGCCTCCTCAACCTCGTTTCAGGCTTGGCTCCCAGCGCCAAATCCTCATCTCCCGAGCGGTTCACAGCACCTTCGACCTCATCATTCAGGCTTGGCTCACAGTGCCAAGTCCTCACGGCCCGAGCGGTTCACAGCACCCTCGGCCTCGTCATTCGAGCTTGGCTCACAACGCCAAGTCCTCATCGCTCAAGCGGTTCACAGCACCCTCGGCCTCATTAGTCAGGCTTGGCTCACAGCGCCAAGTCCTCATGGCCCGAGTGGTTCCCAGCACCCTCGACCTCGTCAATTCAGGCTTGGCTCACAGTGCCAAGTCCTCATGGCCCGAGCGGTTCACAACATCCTCGGCCTCATCAGTCAGGCTTGGCTCACATTGCCAAGTCCTCACGAACCGAGCGGTTCACAGCACCCTCGGCCTCGTCATTCGAGCTTGGCTCACAACGCCAAGTCCTCATGACCCGAGTGGTTCACAGCACCCTCGGCCTCGTCAGTCAGGCTTAGCTCACAACGCCAAGTCCTCATGGCCCGAGCGGTTCCCAGCACCTTCGGCCTCATCATTCAGGCTCACCCCCTACTCCCGAGGGTTCATTAAAAATGGTGCAAATTGTAAGAGTGTTTTAAACCTTATGACCGACCGGGCAACAGTAGGTTGGCAACACCCCGTTCGGTCCTTTATAGTTCCTAAACTAAAAGAGGCCGGAGGGTTAAAAAATATAATAGTCCCGATTAAAATTTTAAAACTCATACTTAAAAAAGGATCGAGATAAGAAATCTGATCAGAATTAAATATTCAATTAAAAAACCGACAAACGAACCTTGGTCGAGTACAGCTATTGCGCTACTTGTTAAGATCCATATATCGTCTGACGTCTATGATAAAACCAGTTCATACACTGGTAGTAGAACGCCAGCGTTATTTGAAACAAAAGACCCCTGGTTGGATAAAACCCTCGCAATATCTATTTCAGGGTCCTAACATTAGTTCGTAGTACCTCTGGTAAAACCAATAGACGAACTGGTACGAGGACCGAACGAATGTTTGACATTAAAAGACCCTTGATCAAGTACGGCCGGATGATTCTATTATCTGCTATCTGAATGTATCGTACTCTTACGATTTTCCTATGTCAAGTTGCCCACCAAGATTTTAATAAAAGTTTTAAAACTTTATTTCTTTTATGGTGAAGGCTCTTCTTTGGAAATAGTTAAAGGGTTTTGACATCATCAAAAAGGGGGAAATTGTAAGGAATAATTGTAATTAGATTTTGATGATGCTATATTTATTAGGACTTTAGAGTACCCCCTCTTTGGATTTATTGTATTAGAAATTTTCCTTGTAAAGTCTCTTAGATTAGTCGACTGACAGAAGACCTCCTGACAGAAGACCTTCTGATAGGCTTTGTCCTGACAGAAGACCTTTGGCTCTCTGTTGACTCTTACTCAGACAGAAGACCTTTGGTTCTCTGTTGGATATCACTACAACAGAAACTGTCAAGACTCTCTGTTAAGTTCACATCTGACAGAAGACCTCAAGACCCTCTGATAGCTTATTCCAACAGAAGTGCTCAAGACCCTCTCTGGGAGACTTTCTGCTAAAGACACCAGAAGGCCTGACACTTGGAGAATTTTCTTGAAACTACTTCAACCGGTGAAACAAACGGAAGATTCCCTCAACGGTTAGAAGACTTCAACGGAAAAGCTACAGTACGTGCATTAAATGCACATTGAATGCACCCCGTACCTTGAAGAGTAAAAGCTGATGATTGGCCGACATTCCAGGTTATTTCAGGATAACTTTATCCCAAAATAGTAACACGCCAGCTTTCCTGGGTCCTACTGGTGAAGTCAACTGTTCGCACATTTAATGCATTGTCCTCCTCCAACGGGAAGACAACCCAAGTATAAAAGATACTCTACGAAGAACAACCGGATTACTTAGAAATAACTTTGCTACATCCTTTGCTCAACACTTGCTCAAACAAAACCTTCAAGGATTAAAAATAAAAAAGCCTCCTTGAGATTAACATTTCATCATCCTCTACAAGGGAAGGTAGACATTGGAAAGATTATTTACTTACATCTCCTAATTTTCAACACAAGAAAAGTTCCATTCGTTCTTCAACACTTCAAGCTCCTCAACTACAAATATTTTGTAACGAAGCTAGTTGGAAACCCCTGTTCTTACAAGAACTCTTCTCCAACGAGAAGGACGTCCGAGTAACTGGAGTAGTGAAGTGGTGATACTTCAAGGAAGCTCAGTGAAAGGACCAGTCTTAAAGGAAGCCAGGAAGTGCATCCCAGGAGACATCTAGACTTGAAGAAGACGTGGAGAGCTTCTTAAGTGCTAGGACTAAGGCGTTGTAAACGGACGTTTTTATAAGCTTAGTGGAACAGTGGATTAGAGGAACGAGTTGTTCCTTGAACCACTATAAAAATCCTTGGTGTCATTTACTTACTGCACTTATTTATCGCACTTAGTTAGAACTGATTAACTCCAAAGACTTGGTCTCTGTGTTTAGCAGAACGTGTCTTGTGAGTTAACAGAAGGCCTACTACCTTTGCTTCTCTGAGGCTAATCTGACAGAACCCCTACCAGAACCCCATCCGCTGCCAGTCTGTTATGTCAACAGAACAAGCTTTTCTGTTAATTCTGGTACTTAGCTTGAAAAAGCAAAAAGCCAGTTCAGTCTATTCACCCCCTCTAGACTGTACCCAGTTTAACCGGGACCAACAAGTGGTATTAGAGCCTCTTTGTTCTAATAATCTCTTAGGTTATTTGCTGAACAAAGATCCATTTGTTTTCTTTTTGCCTCTATTTTAATCTCATATTATGGATCACTCTCTTTCCAAGAATCTTATGTTCTCAGATCTTAAGTTTGATGACTGGAGGATCCGGATGAAGGCACATCTCTGTGCCCTTCATGATGAGATGTGGGAAGTACTGGACATTGGGCCATTCACAAGCTTCCAGAAGGTCAACCCTGAGCATGCTATAGATAACACCAGACCTCTGATGATCAATAAAGCCAAATCTGAGTGGACCACTGAAGAAAGGAGAAAGTATAATCTGGACAACATTGCAAAAGATATTCTCTACAAGTCCATAGATGATAGATACTTCAACAGAATAAAGAAGTGCAAGACTGCCAAGGAAATCTGGGATACACTTGAGCTCATTGGAGCTGGGGATGAGCAAGAGAAAGACAACAAGCTGACGATAGCTAACAAGAAATTTGATGATTTCAAGCTTCTCTCTGGTGAAAGCATCTCCAAGATGTATGACAGGCTCCTCACCCATACCGGAGAGATTTCTGAGCTTGGCAAGGAACTCACCACCAAGGAGATCAACCTCAAAGTGTTGAGAGGTCTTCCTTGAGCATGGAAGATGAAGGTGGTTGCTGTTCAAGCCAGCAAGGATGTGAAGACCTACCCCACAGACATGCTCATCTCAGACCTCAAAGCTCATGAGTTCGAGATGATTGAAGAAAAGGAGGATGTACCAGAAGAAAGGACAACTATAGCCCTCACAGCTAGTACATCTAAGGTAAATGATTTTGACCCTTCAATCCTTTTATCTGACGAATATATGGCTGCTTTTGCTAGGAGATTCAAGAAGTTTCTGAAGAATCCCACAGATGGAAGAAGTCCATCTTCCAGCAGAAAGCCATTCCAGAAACCCAAAGCAACAGAGAGCAGTGGTGAGCTTCTCTGTTACAACTGCAGACAACCTGGACATTTCAAGGCAGATTGTCCACATCCAAGAGTATCCAAGAGACAAGGGCATGATGGAGAAAAGAAGAAATTTGAAGACAATACCAGAAGGAGGAAAGCACTCGTCACAGAACAACTTGACAAAGACCTTTCTGAGACAGAATCCAGTTCTGACTCTGATTCTGATAAGGCCTTATGTTGCCTTGATACCGAGACAGATGACCTATGCCTCATGGCTCATTCTGATGATGAGGTAACCTCTACTTCTACATCTAGTTTTTCTTCGGTAGGCTTAGCTTTTGATTCTGATTCAATGTCAGAATTTTGGGAAGAGTTTAAGGCCATCCAAGCCACTTATTCCTCTGTTACAGAAGAAAACAAGAGGCTGAAGGTTGAGATTCTTGACTTAAGAAGGGAGGTTGAGACCAAAATCAATCTTCTAATTAAAGAGAGACATCAGCTGGAAGCTGAAAATGTTTCTCTTCTCAAGAGAATAAGAGAAATTGAGCCTCTTGAGATTAAGTACAAAGCTTACCAGAAGGCCCATTCTTCTATGGAAAAGATTGTGCTTGATCAACAGATTGACATTGGATTTGGTCTTGGATATGGCTCAACAGAATCAGGTGAGCCTTCTGTAATGCCTAACACCAGTGTTGCTAAGGCAGATAAGGTCATAGTGCCACTGATTTCTAGCCCCATCCGACAAGCTGGTGTATCTGGCACCAAAGTTATTCATTAGGAAGTCAGACCAGAAAAAGGAAATATAAAGGTTCAACAGAAACCCCTTTTGAAAATCAATGAACCTGACAGAAAACCTAACAACAGAAAGGGTTTTCAGAATAACAAAAATAACAGACAAACCGTTAACAGACAACCTCATGATAACCATGCCAGAAATGATCACCAGAAGCGCAGATATCAAGAGAAAGTTAACTTTAGGCAGAAGAGGTTGGCTGGTCAATTTCAGAAGCCCAAAGCTAACCGCCCCTCTCCTCTTGATAGTATATGGGACTTCATTCCAACCAAGAAAGCTATGCAAAAGTATGTAAACAGGAAGCATGACCCTCACAAGCATCTACCCAAAGTGAATCACACTTCGGTTTACTATAAGTACCAGGTGGACAATGGGTACCACCCACCAAGGTTTCACTTGATGAGACCGAAATGGTACCAACTACCCAGACTCCATGACCCCCAGGACCCAACATTGCTTGGGTACCTAAATCTTTCTTTTGATCATGCAAGAACTGTGTGCTGGAGCTATCTCAGAGCAAGAATGGTTTATTGATAGTGGATGCTCCAGACACATGACAGGTGACATAAGTTGCCTAACAGAGTTCCAGAAATGCAAGGGACCTAGAGTTATCTTTGGAGATAATGGCAAAGAAGGTCAAACAAAAGGAAGAGGAAAGCTAATCAAGAACCAGATAGTCATTGATGATGTCTCATATGTCAAAGGCCTGAAGTTCAACTTGCTGAGTGCTAGCCAATTCTGTGACAAAGGCTACATTGTTGAATTCACCAGACTTCTACTATGTGAAGCATGAAACAACAAAAGAAGTGGTTCTTACAGCAACAAGGAAGAAGAATATCTATGTGGTTGATTGGAAAACTGCAAGAGATGGAGTTTGCCTGATAGCCAATGGAGATTCAAAACTAAGCTGGGACTGGCATAAGAAGCTTAGCCATTTGAATTTCAAAACAATCAACAAACTGGAAAGAGAACACATTGTTGATGGACTGCCAGACATAGTTTACAAGAAAGAGACCCTCTACAGTGCATGTCAGAAGGGAAAGCAACAGAAGAACTCTTTCAAACCCATTGCTGGAGACCTTTCTACAAGTCCTTTAAATCTGATCCACATGGATTTATTTGGACCTGTTGAGACTCCAAGTGTTGGTGGCAAGAAGTACACCCTAGTCATGGTTGATGACTACCCCAGATATACATGGACTATTTTCTTGTTAAAGAAAAATGAAACTTTTCAGAAGTTGCCATTCCTGTTAAAGCAACTTCAGACTGAGAAGAATATGAAAGTCAGGACAATCAGGTCTGACAGAGGAACTGAATTTGTCAACCAAGTTATTAAGGACTTCTGTGATCAAAATGGAACCTTTCATCAACTGTCTGCCGCCAGAACACCTCAACAGAATGGCGTGGCAGAAAGAAGAAACAGAACAATGAAAGAAGCTGCAAGGACAATGATTGCAGAATCTGGACTACCAATGAGATACTGGGCTGGAGCAATAAACACTGCATGCTACACCCAGAACAGATGTATGATCAACAAGAATCACCAGAAGACCCCTTATGAACTTTGGAAAGGAAGAAAACCCAACATCAGTTACTTTCATGTATTTGGATGCAAGTGCTACATTCTCAACAATGGAAAGGAGCATCTGAAAGTCTTTCAAGAGAAAGCTGATGAAGGTGTATTCATAATGTATTCAAGTATCAGTAAAGCCTATAGAGTACTCAACAGAAAAACTCTACATGTTGAAGAATCTATACATGTAAAGTTTGATGATAGCACCTCTGTTGAAGATATAACAGAAACTCTCAAGGAAGCCAACTTAGATGACAGAATACCTGAACCAACAGAAGAGGTAACAGATAATCCTGTGTTCCCTACACCTGCACCAAACCCCCTTCTGTTGAATGAAGATGAAGATTCAGAAGAAGAGGAACCAGAGAGTCCCAGACAACAACTGACAGAACCTGATCTGACATGGTTAAGAGATCGTCCTCCCAACCAAGTGATTGGACAAATCAGAAGTGGAGTACAGACCAGATCTGCTACAACAAGAAGAGAAGCAATGTTTGCCTGCTATATATCTCAGATGGAACCCATGACTGTAGAAGAAGCTCTTGCAGACTCAGATTGGATCAATGCAATGCAAGAAGAGCTCACTCAATTTGAAAGGAACAAAGTGTGGGAACTTGTTCCTAGACCAAAGCACCAGAATGTCATTAGAACCAAATGGGTATTCAAGAACAAAGATGATGAAGATGGCAACATTGTAAGGAATAAAGCAAGGCTGATAGCTAAGGGATACTGTCAAAAAGAAGGGATAGATTTTGATGAGACCTTTGCACCAGTTGCCAGACTAGAAGCCTGATGGATGTCAAGAGTGCATTTCTGAATGGAGATCTTGAAGAAGAAGTTTATGTGGAACAACCACCAGGTTTTGTCATTCCTACTCAATCTTCTTGTGTCTACAAGCTTAGAAAGGCTCTTTATGGTTTGAAGCAAGCTCCCAGAGCATGGTATGACACACTGTCCCTATTCCTAGTGAACCATGGGTTTACTAAGGGAAAGGTTGACAAAACTCTATTTCAAATCTCTGTTGCTAACCATATTCTGTTAGTACAAATATATGTTGATGATATTATATTTGGGAGTACTAATGCAGAATTTTGCAAGAAATTTTCACAAGTTATGCAGAGTCAATTTGAAATGAGTATGATGGGAGAACTGAGCTATTTCCTAGGACTGCAAGTCAAACAAGTTCGTGAAGGGATCTTTATCAACCAAGGGAAGTACACCAGAGACCTGATCAAGAAATTTGGAGAGGAAGGCAAATCCTCAGTGAAGATTCCCATGAACACTTCACAGGGAATTGGATCAGATGATGAAGGAAAAGATGTCGATGCAACAACCTACAGAGGAAGCATTGGATCTCTTCTTTACCTAACTGCTAGCAGACCAGATATATCATTCTCTGTTGGGATCTGTGCCAGATACCAATCAAAGACCAAGGAGAGCCATTTAAGTGCTGCAAAGAGAATCATCAGATACATCAAAGGAAATCCAAATGCAGGCCTATGGTATCCCAAGGGAGGTAACTTTAAACTAATTGGTTACTCTGACTCAGATTTTGCAGGTTGCAGGTTAGACAGGAAGAGCTCCTTTGGTCACTGTCAACTGCTAGGTGGGAGACTTGTCTCCTGGTTTAGCAAGAAGCAGAACTCAATCTCAACAAGTACAGCAGAAGCTGAATACACTGCAGCTAGGAGTTGCTGTGCTCAGCTACTCTGGATGAAGCATTAACTGAAGGATTATGGCATTCAAGCAAAGGAGATCAAGCTGCTGTGTGACAACACCAATGCCATTGCCATCACTCAGAATCCAGTTCTTCACTCCAGGACAAAGCACATTGAGATCAGACATCACTTCATCAGAGATCATGTTGAAAAGAAGCACATATGCATGGAGCATGTGTCAACAGAAGACCAACTTGCAGACATTCTGACCAAACCTTTGGCCGAGACTAGATTCAACAAGCTGAGAGAGGAATTGGGAGTGATGGATGAAATTTCAAGAGAAGGTTGATTGGAAGATCTTCTGTTACAGATTCTCTGTTAACAGAACCTCTGTTGCAAAACCCCTTTTGTTCTTTACTCTGGACAGAGAACCTCTAATCCTACCAGAACACCTCAGCAACAAAAACCCTCCTCTTACCAACATAAGGTTGTGGACTTAGAAATATTTTGAGAAAACCGGGTGACCCAGTAACTTGTTGATGGTCTTTTACCCTTTTACCCTTAAACGATATCATAGCAGCAAAACATTTACTGCGCCCCTATTTTCATTTATTGGTACCTCGGAACCGCCAATAATCTCAAACATCCACTAACCCGAACCCATATATTCCAATCTTTTCAACCTAAACCGTCACTGCTCTCATTACTCTCAAATCTTCGAACTTCCATATCTCTTAAGCTCTCAAACTCTCACCACTCTCTGCAATGGCTTTCTTGAACATCAACGACCTCACCGAAGAAGAAATCAATACCTTGGTCGCTAACATCTATACTGGGATGAACTGCGACCTTTCTGCACTCCCTGAACTAGTAGCAAACAAAGAAACCATGATGAAAATCATCAAGGGTATGGAGGAATCACAGCTCAGCAAGGTGGTAGGTTATCATTTCGATTCCTACAGCACAAAGGATGTGGCAGAGTTCTATCTCAATGCCACATATGAAGGGGAGACAATCAAATCTCATGTCAACGGTGATGACATCATCCTCACCTCTGAGACTATCAACGTCCTCTTTGGCGTAGTGGAAGATCCCCAAGAAGAAGACACTGAAGACTTCATAGCCCTAGACAGTGTCAAGGTCACTGTTGATAACTATGTCCAACTATACTGCAGCCCTATACATGAAGAAGAATCTACTTCAGAGTGATTATGAGAAGCTGATCAACATCTTCCATAAGTGGGTCTGGAGCAAGAACACCTCTACTGATGATATGACAGTTCTCAATGCAAAAGCTGTTTTTGCAGTTCATCATGGGATGAACATCAACTGGGGACAGGTAATCATCAAGTCCCTTGTTGAATTTTCCAAAAAGAAAGATAAGGAAACCGGTCTCTTCAAAACCCCCATGGGTTATGGCCTTCTGCTATCAGAAACTCTGATAAAGGCCAAAATAGGGTTGAGAAACCCCGTTGAGACTGACTACCCCAAATTACTCTTCCTCAACACCTCACATGATAGGAGAGTAGCTCTGAAGGCTGAACAGAAGAGGTTGAGGACTCTGGAGTTTAACCGAGAGAAACTCCAACAGAAGGTGGTCAAGTCCAAGAAGGCTGTTAAGAAGCAGCAGAAACCCTCCACCCCCTCAGATTCCGAGGAAGAAGAGCCTCTGGTAAGAAAGCCTGTGAAGAAGGCTGTCACCGAGAAGGCTGCCCCAGCTAAAGTCCAGAAGCTGGTGGCAAAGAAGTCTGTGATAAAGAGAAAGACACCTTCTTCTATCTCTACAGAAAGCACCCCTTGTGCCTCTCCCATTGTGAAGAAGGCCAAGGTTCTGACTCCTGCAATTCAGGGGGAACCCGTTAACTCAACCCCTTCTGTGCAACTCATCACAAATGCCTGGCAAGGCAAGAAGATTGTTTTTGAGTCAAGTGACTCGAAAGATGAAGTAGTAGTGCTGGATGCTACTACTCAAGGGGAATCTCACAGATCACCCTCTGCAACTATACCTGATCAACGCTTGCTGACTTCCTCACTAGAACATCATGAAGTCAATAGAACCCCTGAGCCCTCAGAACCTCAAGAGGATATCTCCTCTATCCTGGATAAACAGTTTATCAGGATTCTAGCATGGAGGAAGTGGAGAGTGGGATCTCTCTCTAAACTGATCAGAATGCTCCCCCATTTCATCATTGAGGAAGCTGAAGTCCTCAAGTGGGCTGGAACAGAAGACGTTGAGCAGTGCCTCAACAAAAATTTCCTTCTATCTGTCTTAGCAGAAAAGAAGAAGGAGAAATGCAAAGAGAAGGGCAAGCAGATTCATATTGATGAGGAGGAAACAATCAGAGCCTTAGCAGAAGATGAAATGGCTGCTTTTGATGAATGGCTCATTGAGAAGAAGCGCAAAGAATCTTTGATCAAATTTCGTCCAAGCGCCCATGCAGAAGGAGAGCCATCAACAGCTAATGATCTCCCTTTGGCCATGGAAAAGCTGATCAAAGAATGGAGGGACTCACAGTTCGAAGAAACTGTACTAGAGGTAATCTCTAAATCTCCCTCTATTTATACAGAACCTCACATTCCCTCCCCTCCCATGTCACCTCCTCAACCACAACCCTCACCCAAAATCCCAACTCCCTTTACTACTCCACCTCAATCCCCTCACAAGAAATCCCCATCCTCACAGAAATCCTCACCACCACAGAGAACCACTCCACAACAGAATACCCCTCCACCCTCACCTCAGAAAACCCCTGCCAAGGAGAAAACTCTCTCCAAGGAGAAAACCCCCTCTGAAAAATCCAAACATTCCACACCTTGTAAACCCATCAAATCCTACAGAAACCGCTCACCATCACCTCCACCATCTCTACATCAACAGAGAACCCCTCTACCCCAGAAACCCAAATCACCTACCTCATCTTAATAAAAGTCACCCTCTCCTGCTGCAAACTCTCCAAGATCCTCTCATCACTCTGCAACATCCACTCTAAAGAAGAAGCCTCTGCACCGTGTCCTCTCATCTGATAGTGACAATGATGGGTTCCTTCCATCATCTCTAGCAGGAGATCTCACTTCAAAAAGGAGGAAAACACCTACAAGAGAACCTTCTCCACATCATCCCTCTCTGCAACAGACCAGAAGGCCTCCAATGCCCAGGTCAAGAGGACTGGGAATGCCTGGTTTTGAAGAAACAGAACCCCAAATTCCTTTTAACCAGTTTGTTCATACTGCTGAAGAATTTGGTGGTCAAGTATGGGAAGGGATGGACAAACTCATTCAGCTTAACGACAAGCATTTTGAGCATCTATCTCATGTAAATGAAAACCTCAACTCTGGTATGAATTTCATCTCAGCTCGCTTTGCTACACTAACAGAATCCCTCAACAACTTCATGGCCCCATCCACTGCCAAGACTGATGCTCTCACAACAGAGGTAGAAGGTATTCACAAAACCCTTTTCACCTTTCACCAGACCTTGATGGCTCAAGGTAAAGTCATTGAAACCATCTCTGGTAATATTGAAGAGCTTCAATGTGCTGACACTAAGACTAAGGAACAGTTGCTGGACATTGAGGAATTGTGCAAAGTTCACCGCGATCAAACCAGAACTCTCTTTACTGCCGACAAAGAAAGATACCAGAAATTGGTTCTACTTGAAGCAAGTTCTAAGGATGTTGCCTCAGCTCTTCAGAAGCAACAAGGTCTGATAGAAGACCTCACTTCTGTCACACAGACTCTGCCAGAAACCCTTGAGCAGATTGCCACATCTCAAGCTTCAGAGTTTCACAAGTAGGCAATGATGATCTCTGATCTGAATGATGCCAAAAAGGGGGAAGAGGATCCCCAGCAGAAGAAGCAGAAACAATCTGCCAGAACCTCAGCTGGCCCATCTGTTGATCCAGCCCCTTATTTCCAGGCTTCCATACAAAAGAAGAAAGAAGCTGGATTGTCTAGACCTTCATCTCCCCATAGAAACATATCCAAGAAGAAGAAAGCTCTGAACTTCAGAGAATGGAGATTAAGTGGATCTCAGAGGATATGTAGAGCTCAGTTTGAGGAAATTCAACAGAAGATGACTCCTACTAAGCAGCAGAACCTCTACCTTGACAGAGAAAGTCGAATAAGAGTTAGGCATGGCGGCTCACTGGAAGAAGCTGAGTACTGGTATCATAATAGAATTCTTCCAGGGAAGGACGTCCATGAAGGTGTTCTCAACTATCTTGATTGCAAGCTTTCACCCATTTGGGCATCCTATCAAAGAGTTGGGAACCTCACAGAGATTAGAGAAGAACTCAATGCTGAATTGAAACGGCTTCAAGGGAAAATCTGTAAAGGACCACCCCTACCCTTTCCCTTAATAAAAGAACATCTCTGCCTTTCACTTTGTAAGGCAATTCTTTAATATCTGTGTTTATTCTCTGTTATGGTTGTGTGTTGTTTTAATCTTGTTCTATTATCTGCTATCTTGTTCTATTATCTGCTATCTGAATGTATCGTACTCTTACTATTTTCCTATGTCAAGTTGCCCACCAAGATTTTAATAAAAGTTTTAAAACTTTATTTCTTTTATGGTGAAGGCTCTTCTCTGGAAATAGTTAAAGGGTTTTGGCATCATCAAAAAGGGGGAAATTGTAAGGAATAATTGTAATTAGATTTTGATGATGCTATATTTATTAGGACTTTAGAGTACCCCCTCTTTGGATTTATTGTATTAGAAATTTTCCTTGTAAAGTCTCTTAGATTAGTCGACTGACAGAAGACCTCCTGACAGAAGACCTTCTGATAGGCTTTGTCCTGACAGAAGACCTTTGGCTCTCTGTTGACTCTTACTCAGACAGAAGACCTTTGGTTCTCTGTTGGATATCACTACAACAGAAACTGTCAAGACTCTCTGTTAAGTTCGCATCTGACAGAAGACCTCAGGACCCTCTGATAGCTTATTCCAACAGAAGTGCTCAAGACCCTCTATGGGAGACTTTCTGCTAAAGACACCAGAAGGCCTGACACTTGGAGAATTTTCTTGAAACTACTTCAACCGGTGAATTCAACGGAAGATTCCCTCAACGGCTAGAAGACTTCAACGGAAAAGCTACAGTACGCGCATTAAATGCACATTTAATGCATCCCGTACCTTGAAGAGTAAAAGCTGATGATTGGCCGACATTCCAGGTTATTTCAGGATAACTTTATCCCACAATAGTAACCCACCAACTTTCCTGGGTCCTACTGGTCAAGTCAACTGTTCGCGCATTTAATGCATTGTCCTCCTCCTCCAACGGGAAGACAACCCAAGTATAAAAGATACTCTACGAAGAACGACCAGATTACTTAGAAATAACTTTGCTACATCCTTTGCTCAACACTTGCTCAAACAAAACCTTCAAGGATTAAAAATCAAAATGCCTCCTTGAGATTAACATTTCATCATCCTCTACAAGGGAAGGCAGACGTTGGAAAGATGTTTTACTTACATCTCCTCATTTCCAACACAAGCAAAGTTCCATTCGTTCTTCAACACTTCAAGCTCCTCAACTACAATTCTTTTGTAACGAAGCTAGTTGGAAACCCCTGTTCTTACAAGAACTCTTCTCCAACGAGAAGGACGTCCAAGTAACTGGAGTAGTGAAGTTGTGATACTTCAAGAAAGCTCAGTGAAAGGACCAGTCTTAAAGGAAGCAAGGAAGTGCATCCCAGGAACATCTAGACTTGAAGAAGACGTGGAGAGCTTCTTAAGTGCTAGGACTAAGGCGTTGTAAACGGACGTTTTTACAAGCTTAGTGGAACAGTGGATTAGAGGAACGAGTTGTTCCTTGAACCAACTATAAAAATCCCTGGTGTACTTATTGCACTTATTTATCGCACTTAGTTAGAACTGATTAACTCCAAAGACTTGGTCTCTGTGTTCAGCAGAACGTGTCTTGTGAGTTAACAGAAGGCCTACTACCTTTGCTTCTCTGAAGCTAATCTGACAGAACCCCTACCAGAACCCCATCCGCTGCCAGTCTGTTCTATCAACAAAACAGGCTATTCTGTTAATTCTGGTACTTAGATTGAAAAAGCAAAAAGCCAGTTCAGTCTATTCACCTCCCTCTAGACTGTACCCAGTTTAACCGGGACCAACACCGGGCCAAACTAATCAAGGTGCTTACACTGTGTGACGCCGAAAGTAAAACCAGTTAATACACTGGTATGGAGGGCCGGTCGCGATGTTTGAAGTCCACACGACTCGTGCGAGAAACTAACTCCCTTGTCTATGGCTTCTGTTTTCCTTAGACATGGTCAAAATTAAGGAAAGGTCTAGAGCATAAGTCCACTTAAAGTATCTGAGCATTATCACACTTGTTCACACGTGGCCTCCTCGGGCAAGCTCTTAAGTAATCCTCGAGTGAGTAATTCCGTACTAAAGAGCAGGTGCTTGCATTTGTCGAGTACGAACTCAACTATCTCAATACACCGATCAAAGGAATGGGGTGGAGTTGAGTAAAAAACCTATAATCCGGCGCAGAATCCACACGTTCGCCGGACAGGTCTCTGTTAAAGAAGGGTACTATGAAGAAATCCTTACCGGGTCTTGAATGGGAGGAGACGATAGTATCCTTTGAATGACACGAGTATCTAAAAAACCCGATCCTAGGATCTATTATCCTGGGGGGGGGGGGGGGTAATGCATCGTTCGACGCCAAAAGTAAAACCAGTGTATGAGCTGGTATGGAGGGCCGGTTGGAAAATGCATTTCTATAAAGACTATTGTCGCGATCGAGCTTTTAAGCCAAATCAGACGATAGCCAATTCGATCCTTAGACGAGTTGCCTGTAAAGACTATTGTCTGGATCGAGCTTTTAAGCCAAATCAGACGATAGCCAATTCGATCCTTAGACGAGTTGCCTGCAAAGACTATTGTCTCGATCGAGCGCCAAATCAGACGATAGCCAATTCGATCCTTATACGAGTTGCCTGCAAAGACTATTGTATCGATCGAGCTTTTAAGCCAAATCAGACGATAGCCGATTCGATCCTTAAGCTTTTAAGCACAAGGAAGAATCGTTCTAAAGACTATTGTCTCGATCGAGCTTTTAAGCCAAATCAGACGATAGCCAATTAGATCCTTAAGCTTTTAAGTACTTAGACGAGTTGCCTGCAAATACTATTGTCTCGATCGAGCTTTTAGGCCAAATCAGACAATAGCCAATTCGATCCTAGGATGAGTTGCTTGCAAAGACTGTTGTCTCGATCGAGCTTTTAAGCCAAATCAGACGATAGCCAATTCGATCCTTAAGCTTTTGAGCACAAGGACGAGTTGCCTGCAAAGACTATTGTCTCGATCGAGCTTTTAAGCCAAATCAGACGATAGCCGATTCGATCCTTAAGCTTTTAAGCACAAGGACGAATTGCCCGCAAAGACTATTGTCTCGATTGAGATTTTAAGCCAAATCAGACGATAGCCAATTCGATCCTTAAGCTTTTAAGCACAAGGACGAGTTGCCTGCAAAGACTATTGTCTCGATTGAGCTTTTAAGCCAAATCAGACGATAGCTGATTCGATCCTTAAACTTTTAAGCACAAGGAAGAATCGTTCTAAAGACTATTGTCTCGATCGAGCTTTTAAGCCAAATCAGACAATAGCCGATTCGATCTTTAAGTTTTTAAGCACAACGACGAATTGCTCGCAAAGACTATTGTCTCAATCGAGCTTTTAAGCCAAATCAAACGATAGCCAATTCGATCCTTAAGCTTTTAAGCACAAGGACGAGTTGGCTGCAAAGACTATTGTATCGATCGAGCTTTTAAGCCAAATCAGACAATAGCCGATTCGATCCTTAAGCTTTTCACCACAAGGAATAATCGTTCTAAAGACTATTGTCTCGATTCGGGCAGAGAGTCGGGGCTTGAAGTTCCCTTTGGCTGCCAGTGCAAAGCCCTCGGAGTTCTTGAAACAATGGAACCGCCCGAGCGTCCCCATTCGGGAGGGGACCCGGCCGGTACATGGATCGGACGGGCCACGTCTCAAGCTGAGCGTTCGGTGCTCAAGTCTTAAATCATTCCTCTAAGAGCGTATACTCTTTTTCCTCCGTTAGGATTTTTTCCCACTGAGTTTTTCCTCAGTAGAGTTTTTAATGAGGTACCTCCAAAAGGGATGCAAGACAGTAGATACCCCGGCCGAGACGTACCACGAAGAAAGCATACTTTTAAAGCACCTCTCCTACTCGCTGCTTCAGAAGTGGGGGACTTGTGTTGGGATATTGGGTTTATGGCCCAATACCCCGAGGGAAGACCCGGCCGGGACTCCAACGGGACTTCAACGACTTTCCAGAGTGTGCTTCTCAGGAGCTGGACCCAAAGGAACTGCCCGAGCATCCCTGTCCGGGAGAGGACCCGGCCGGGACGCAAAGCCTCGTTCGAGAGTGAGCCTACTCAGAAGCTAGCCCCAAGGCTCCGGTATCTGGTCCGTTCATTGTCCCTGATATCTTTCCGATGACTTCCCTATCCCGAGCGGGACCTTGCCAGCCCGGGCGGGATGCATGTCTGCCCGCCGAGGAGCATACGGGCCTTTTAGGGCTTCCGGTAGCTGGCCCGTTCATTGTCCCTGATCTGGAAATGGTTTGGGCTCGACCTTTTGGGTTTACCTTTTTGGGCTTTACCAAATAACCCAACACAAGTCCCTCAGTTCTGATGTTCTGAAATCGTTAAGGACATAAGGAAGTATTCTTCTCACTGGGTTTCGCGTCCGGTCATTGTGCCCGAGCATACCCTATGGCTCGCCCGGTTGGCTCTCTGGACAATGGATGTTGAGCTCCGCGGGGTGGGTCCTGGCACTTCTCAATAGTGATCTCCAATCCCCCTGGGACGGGGATCCGGGTAGCATTCCTACGTGGCCATCAGATTGGGTGTTCCATCGGCCTCATCCTGCGGTACTCACTTATTCATTTTTCCTTGTTTCAGGTCCTTTTGTCCCGTCGCAAGCCGAAATGGATCACGCCGACATCCTACGCAAGGCGCAAGAGAAGAGGGCGCGGCAACAAGCCGCCCCAGCCGGGTCCTCTCCCGGACGGGGACGTGCTCGGTCGGTTCCTTTGAGCCCAACTACTGGGATGTAGGCACACTCTGGAATGAGGCTTTGTGTCCCGTCCGGGTCCTCTCCCGGACGGGGACGTGCTCGGTCGGTTCCTTTGAGCCCAACTGCTAGGACGTAGGTACACTCTGGAATAAGGCTTTGTGTCCCGTCCGGGTCCTCTCCCGGACGGAGACGTGCTCGGTCGGTTCCATTGAGCCCAGCTGCTGGGACGTAGGTACACTCTGGAATAAGGCTTTGTGTCACGTCCGGGTCCTCTCCCGGAAGGGGACGTGCTCGATCGGTTCCTTTGAGCCCAGCTGCTGAGACGTAGGTACACTCTGGAATAAGGCTTTGTGTCCCATCTGGGTCCTCTCTCGGACGCGGACGTGCTCGCGTGTTACTGTTCACGCGTGAACAGTAACACGCGAGCACGTCCGCGTCCGAGAGAGGACCCAGATGGGACACAAAGCCTTATTCCAGTGTCCAGTAGCAGAGTAATGTAACTCGCATGTAAAGAAATGTAACTCACGCTGATCAGAAATTTAACTGCAGGCAAGTCCAAATGTAACTTGTCTAATACGAACTATAAGAAATAAAACATTGATTTCCTTGAAACAAAGAGTCTAATTGCTCAATTACTTTACGTAAATAGTGAATATGTTTTGTTTTTAATATTAAAACCATAAATAATTTTTTCCCTTAAAATCAGTTTTTTTTTTGCCAAAAAATCATTTTTTTTGCAAAAAAAAATCATTTTTCGCAATTTTTTTCCCTTGCAAAAAACTCGTTTTTTGTTTCAATAGCATGTGTTTACTTAAATAGTGAACATGTTCTGCCAAAAAATATTTTTTTTTTAAATCACTTTTTTGCTAAAGAAATCATTTTTTGCCTTGTTTGGCAAAAAATGATTTTTTTGTTTCAATAGTAGAGCTTTATGTTGCGATGTAACTTATGTTATAGAAAATGTAACTCACGTTGATGAAAAATCTAACTTAGGTCAATGTAAAATGTAACTTGTTAAGGTAAGTCCAAATGTAACTCGTGTAAAGGAAGATGTAACTCACGCATAAAAAGATGTAACCTGCGCATAAGAAGATGTAACTTCATATACTATCAAATGTAAACAATGAAAACATGAAGTCTAATTGCTTAAATTTTTTAACGTAAATAGTTAGTATGTTTTTTTTTATTAAGGCCATAAAAATGTTTCAAAGAAAAATAATACTCCCTCCGTCCCTCTATTATTGTCTCATTTCCTATTCACTTGATCAACACAAATCACTCTTAATCTCTTGCTTTATGTATCAAATTTTTATCAAATTTGAATCTGGTTTTTGCGACTTTGTAAATCTTTTAATGTAGTTTCTGAATATGTAATTTTTTTTTTCTAAAAATAATTTGAGTGCGGACAGGGATCTGTTTGCTTTATCGTCGGTCAAGCATCGTAAACCGCAATGGGACAATAACATAGGGACGGAGGGAGTATTTTTTGCCACAAATATTAATTTTTTTTGCCGAAAAATCATTTTTTTCCAAAAAAAATCATTTTTGTTTGCCAAAATATTATTTTTTGGTTTCAATGGATGGATTTATTTCGTGATGTAACTCGTGTTATTGTTGGGAATATTTTATGGTGTTCAATCTAGTTAGTTATCTTTGTATTTGTGTAGTTATTAATTAATCGTGTAATACGGGCCACAAATGTGTATCAGCCCGTGGGCTTCCTTGTAACCCGTAAGTTAGCTAACTTCTCCTATAAAAGGAGGCTAACTTACGGGAACCAAAACAGATCGAGAGAGGCGCAGAGGCGTAGAGATAGATAGATTAGGGTTGCCGCTGCTCTCCTTCTCCAGGGAGAGCAGCGGACAGTTTTATACGGTATATCAGATTCGCGTTTAATCTTCGACATATCTTTCTATCTACTTCTTATCACTGCTAAGATTGTATGATTGTTAGTATTCAGGGATTAACATTTGGTATCAGAGCCGAGGCGTGAAACATGTTGGATCTATCTGCGATTTTTGGATCTAACGAAGAACTACTCTGTTTTTCTTCTGTTTTTCTATATGTAGAGATTTGCTCCTGTAATCTCGTTTGTGAACGAAATTTTGTAAAAATCATACTGTTGGATTCGCCTTTCAAAACCGATCCAGCAGCATACCTCTTTTTTCGTTTTCTGCAATTTTTATATTTCGAAGATCTCTACATTGAGATCTCGAAATCCTTATTTTTCACTGCTGCAGAAACGTTTTTGGCTTGAAACTGATACAGGAGAATCTCGACTTTCAGGGCTATTCAGAACAGGTTTCAGATTTTCAAAAATCAATGTTTTCGTTTTGCAGGATCTCGACATTTAGGGACTCGATTTCTTCTTCTCGACATTTGAGATCTCGAGATTTGCATCTCGACATCTTGATCTCGAGATTTGCATCTCGACATCTTGATCTCGAGATTTGAATCTCGACATCTTGATCTCGAGATTTGCATCTCGACATCTTGATCTCGAGATTTGCATCTCGACATCTTGATTTCGAGATTTGAATCTCGAAATCTTGATCTCGAGATTTGCATCTCGACATCTTGATCTCGAGATTTGAATCTCGAAATCAAGATCTCGAGATTTGTAATCTCGAGATTTGGAATTTCGAGTTTAGGAATTTCGAGTTTTGGGATTTCGACATTTGGGATCTCGATGTTTTGGATCTCGACATTCTGAAGATTTCGAGATTTTCAAAATTTCTCGATGTTTTGAATCTTTCAAAGTTTGCAGTTTTTTGGAACTCATAATTCGAATCTTGACATCCTTTGCAGTTCATCGAAGCTTTACATTATAAGGATCTCTGAATGATTCCCTGCTTATTATATAAATGTTTCAGGAGTTTTCGATGTTCTGATGTTTTTCAAACAGCAAGTTTTCGAGATTATGATGTTTTCGAAACTTCAAAGTTTTCGATGTTCAAACATTTTGAAATTCTGCAGATTTCGATATTCAGAGGTTTGTTTTGTAGGTGGATTTCGCCATTATTCTTCGAGGCAATCTCTAGAATTTTGTTTAAAATCCACCTGCTCTCGACATTCAACATCGAGCACCTCATCTTCGAAGAAATTCCTCAAAAACTCAAAATTAGAGATTTTCTGCGACACCGCACTGTTTTGGCCATAACGTTTGACTCGGTGATCCGATTTGAGCAAACTTTTTTTTGTTAGAAAGCTAACGAAAAGATCTACATTAATTCTCAGGCTAAGCCCTAGAACCCATTCTCACGCGCCCTCACTCGCAGTCTTTGAGGGTCAAAACGTTAGTTTTCCGACAAACATTGTAAATCACCGATGTCCAGGTCAAAACTTAGGCAAATCTGTTCAAATTCTTTCAATGTCAACCCTGAGGTCAAAGATATTCTAAACTTCATTGTAAAGGTCTGAAAATCATAGATAATTCAATCAATCTCGCGTCAACGGTCATCTTACAACAATCAACTGCTGAAGCCTCCCCTGATTCATCAACATTGTGTGATCATCAATATGCTGAAATTCTACATGGTGAGCTCAGGGAAACCGTCATGTGTGGTACATGTTCAGATTGCTCCACACACATGGCGGGTATGACAAGCTGTGAGCAATCAATCCTTGCACATTCTGAGGGGGAGTTTCAGTTAATTCCTCCTGGCGCCTTACATCGACAAAGCAAGGAATCTCTCAAAGGATGCAACATTTTAGGGGGAGTGTTCAATGTTATCCTTCCCGGTGCCTAACAATGACAAAGCATTCCGAGTGCTTCAGTTGAGGGGGAGCACAGAGAGAAAATGAGGAAAGTAATGAGAGAACATGTCCCTATGGCTTAGTAAACCCAACTGAGCCTACCCAGGGGACAAAGTCGAGCGTAAGTGCGTAAGTGAGCGAGTGAGTGAGTGAACATTATGAGCATTAGGAAGCAGAAGGCTCAAGTGAGAAGAAAAACAATTATCAATGATGAGTCTGCTACCTCAATTGCCTGCTATGAATTGAACATTTGCTCCTAGACACTAAAATACTCTGGACTATCCCCATAGGTTCAGGACTGAATTTATTCAGATCCCGGGTAGAAGTCGCTGCATTTTGTCCAAACGGCGCATGCACAACCCTACCCTAGACCACTCACTTGTCTCCCAACAGACAGGTGTTTAATCATAGTTCACGGGGAACCGCATCTCTCATTACTGTCTCCTTCCGAGGCAAGTAAAACTGACTACAGTGGCCTCAGCCCCATGCCATTGAACTTTCATTGATCACGTCGTGTCTAGTTACTCACTCCCAAATGTTTTGAAATTTTCTAGGACACAGACGCACTTTTAGAGTCAGTTGCAGGTCTACATGACCCGCGAGAACTTCCATAGGGCTCATCTATTACAGATGTAGACCAATAATTGGAAGGAAGTCCTGCTGTTGCAACATTAGAATCACCAACATTTTCAGGCCATTGCTTTAGAGTTTATTTCTATAGTGATGATAACGGGCGTCTTCACGACCCCGGGGGGCTACGTTATCTTCTTTACATTCTGCTTGTTTTTCCTGTTTTTATTTCTGCAGAATAAAAGAATAAAAGCATGACGTCCCGATTCATCGGATCGTCATGAGGGGGAGAGTGGTCCACATGCTGTTAACACTGAACAAATCATTCTGGGACACTTCACTCCTCCTTCACAAAAATCAATACCTTCTCTGCTATCTCTACAACTCAAATCAAATGGTCAGCTACACTCACAAATCAACAATCATTATGTTCCGCTGTGCCACCGACAAGTTCTCCTCAAATGCATTCATTCCAAATAGTCAAAAAGACTACATTGTGGAGGAGACAGAGGTCAAATACTCGCGTCCTGAAGATGAATTCCATGGGCGTCTCCTATTCTCCAAAGAATATTCATTCTAGAGGCGTCACCGGACTTCATCCAAGCTGATCAAGAGCAACGTCTGGAAGGCAAGGACTACATGCAAGATACTGAAGGTCCCTCAACCCCCGACATCAAAGATCAAATTGTCAAGAAGACATCAAAGGGGAGATTGCAAGGATTTCTTCTGATAGCCTTCCTCAGAAGTCAAGTTCAAAGACAAAGGAAGCTCAATAACAACAAAGACAAAGATATCTACGCTGCAATGCTGATTCAACACGATTGATCACCAAGGGGGAGATTGTTGGGAATATTTTATGGTGTTCAATCTAGTTAGTTATCTTTGTATTTGTGTAGTTATTAATTAATCGTGTAATACGGGCCACAAATGTGTATCAGCCCGTGGGCTTCCTTGTAACCCGTAAGTTAGCTAACTTCTCCTATAAAAGGAGTCTAACTTACGGGAACCAAAACAGATCGA